CAAATTACTTACTAGGGTACTTATTGTCAATCAATTGCATGACCTGAACGTAGGGTTGTGGATCCAGCCGGTCGTCTCTCGTAGGCTTGTCTTCTATGAATGTGGGCTTATAGTGAAGCTCAATAGGAAACAAGCGTCCAGGCACCTGAAATGATAACATTTATTATACACATACAAAGAAAGCCAGCGATTATTAAAGAATGATTTTACCTATCTACGAACAACTTTGATTAAGATGACCCCAACTTAAATCGCGAAAATATATCAGTTGTATCATACTAAACGTTTCATAATCCATGTATTTGTGAAAACACAGGTTGTATAGAAGTTAATGTGTACAAAATAAGTACTTTCATTGAGTCCAGCCATACATAAGGCATACAAACATAATGAAGGTAGGTATATTTTACATTTACTCACATGCACTTCAACAGACTAAAGCAGGTGAACATGTTCGTTTTTAATAATATCGTCGGAGATAGTGCAAATCCGCGTATGCAGTATTGGCGAAAAGCGCGTATCTGCATTAAATCAAATTCTACAGAAGAGGGATTAAACTTTTTTTTTAAATGGCTACGACTTTTTTTTTAGATGGCTACGACTTTTCTTTAAATGGCTACGTTTTTTTTTTAAATGGCTACGACTCATTTTTGCACAGTAAGCATCAATTCATGTTACCTACCTGATAACATTAGATTTTATTTCCCTTGACTGTACCCACTATCTAGATGACCGATAAAGTTTTAATTTATTACCTGTACAACTGCAGCAGATTCAGCGGAAAAATAGTCTTCAAATAATTTAATATTAATTGTAGCCGACATTAGTACTAGTTTGATGTCATTCCTACTGTGAATCAGACATTTCAACACGCCTAATAAAAAATCACCCATGAGATGTCGCTCGTGTATCTCATCTAGGATTATGACGTCATAATTTGGCAGATTTTCTGAAGACATCTGAAAAGGCATTGACAATATAATGAAGATAATTTAGGAAAATAATTAAGTTGACAAGTTAGTAGAGAGTGTGGAACTGAGAAAGATAGTCTAAAACGCAGTTATAGCTAAGCAGGTAACGTAAAGAGCGTGGCAAAATATCTTATATACTTCATTGGGACGACAACGAAGTTGTGTGTTCTGTCTCTAATATGAAGTCATACTTCTGTGTATCCTTAAGTCTTGGGTAGATTTTAATAGTTAGAAATTAGTAGCTTGAGTTTCAGATAGAATTTTATTTAAGCTGGGCTTGTTTCTTTATAATTTCACTTGATGAAAAGGTAAAATGTGGTCGATGATGGTACATGCCACCATAAAAGATTCACAACGACTTTAAATACATCACAATATAAAACATGTCAGAGTTTCACTTCGTAGTTGTGAGCTTGTTGTGGGCTCGCACATCTGAGTTTCTCAGAATTTAGGTGCGTAATTTAATTTGAAAGGAGAATGGTCAAAATAGACCTGGGTGCGGCCACTTCAAGAACTACTTTCAATCAATAGATATCATTATTGCGATCAAAAAACATTATGAGCACCAACACGTAAGTCATTAAGTTTTCGAAATATCTTAAATAATATATATTTTTAAAAGTTGATACTTAATATACGAACTTCGGCCTGGAATATGTTTGTGTGGCGTGTATGCTAACCATGATTGACCAAATATTTAAAGAGTTCTATGAACTGTTAAAAATAATGACACAATTTTGTAAAATGATGATGATTGCCTTTAAACAACCAAGGCCACGAAGATGTTCCGACTTGGTTGTGAGCGTATAGATGATCCTACTTCCATATCGTCGCCTTACTTTCTCAAGCTCGTATCTTAAAGCACAAAGTTACTGAAATTGCAAAAAATGGATTGTATATACAAATTTTGCAGGCTCATTTCAGTACACATTTCCTTCATATTCATCCACTGGCTTTTACCCACTTTGGGACAGTTGCTTCAGCTGTACGAAGCACAAGTCCGGTCGTGGATGGAGTATTGCTGCCACCTTTGGAATGGCTCTGCTACATACCAACTGGCCACCTTGGATTCAATTGACAACCGTGCCAAGAAACTTATAGGTGACTCGGAATTAGTGGAGGCGAAACTGCAGAGCCTTGAACACCGCCGTAAAGTTGCCTGCTTATCGGTATTTTACAGGGTATATCACGGAGAGTGTGCGATGGAATTACACGATTTAATTCCGACTTCCCCTTTCCATCACCGGGGGAGTAGGCGCAGGCTTGGGTTCCACCCTTGTGTTGTGGATATTCCAAAGATTCGCACGAAGCGTTACGCTTCCACATTTATATAGCGAATGGCTGAACGTTATAACATGGACCTTTTCAAGGCGAGAGTGAATAGGAATTATTTAGGTGTGCATGCTCCATAGTCAACCTCATTGTCACTTCCCATCAGGTGCGATGGAGCTCGAATGTGCACTCACATAAGACAAAAAAAAAAAAAATTAAAAAACCTATTCTTAAAGTATTACATCCAACACCCTTGATAAAAAATTTAAAATAAATAGAAAGTTTTGCCATCTCCTGAATAACCACTCTATAAAATACGAGTTTGAGAAAGTAATGCGTCGATATTTTGACTATTAGTGTTATAAACAAACTTAATAATTACCTGTCTAAGCAACAAACCTTCGGTAATAAAACATATTTTAGTATCTGCTGTTTTGCTTTTCTCAAACCGAATCTGGTAGCCGACTTTGCTTTCAAATTGAGTCAGCATCTCAAATGCTACTCGCTTTGATAGTGACACACAGGCTATTCTTCTTGGTTGCGTGCACGCTGCAAAAAATGGACTAACCTTAGTAAAGTCATTATCTACAAAGTTGAAAATGGATTTTCACTGGATTATTTATAAAGAAATAAGGGTCGTTGGATTCTATTTTCAAGTTTAAAACTTACATTAAAAGTATTTTAATTGAAAAGTTAAATTGCAAAATTAAAGAGTATGTGTTAGATAAAGAAGTATGGAAAGACAACAAGAGTCTAGATACCACACAATTATGATTCAAAGTGTATTCCATAGCATTTAAGTTTATTTGAAAAGAGCAATCCCTAGAGTTTCTTACTCGTTCTTCTCAGGGAGGTTAGCGTAGTGACCAAGCAGTAGCTTAAAAGTAGTAAAAATTTTACCTATGGAACAGATGATTATTTGACGTTGACTATTTAATAATAACTATTCTACCAACAACTATCTTTATTTTCCATGGAACTTTTTCATAGCTTGGAGCTGGCAATAATCACCAATATCATGGCGCCATGCCGTTTAAAAAATGAAGATAATTTGATAATTTGACGGTGTGGACGGCCGAGAAGGCGTTAGCGGGACGATCTTGATGGGTTTGAGAGAACATATTTAATTCTCACTCAACTTCGTACAATTACATACATCCTAATAACTCTCACAAAATAACACTTTCCCAACATACAAACTTTTACTCACACACACAACTTACTAAATCAAAACCACACTTCATGTCTCGAAATAGTTTATTGAACACTGCAAAAATTTTTAACTCCCCTGTAGGAATATTGAGTCAATTAGGTAATGTATATTTCAACAGTGTAATAATAATGTTCAACTGGAAATTCCTTATTAAAATTCGATAGCTTACATACTAATTATAAATAGTATCATTAATGATTTAACTGTTTCGAAATCTCAAGCGTGTGAACCCGAAGACTGCATAAACCATATACTAAATCTATGGCATAAACCATGTGGACAATTATGGAAATTGCCTTAATATACTTACCCAGAATATTCGTAGCATCTCAGCTAATATTTCTGGGCATAAAACACTTTTATTTAGAACTAATTTAACACAAGTCATTATAGTACTACTGAATGTTGGCTTTCTTGTAATCCAATTATCCCGGTAATAAAGGGTTATAATCATTATTTCGCAAACATTTCAATAAATAAAAATGATGGAATAGTTGTTTATGTTAAAAATTATATCTTGGACGTTAAAGTAAATGAACCGGAGGTTCTGGATGCAAATTTCATGTTAATGAAAATTGGTAAGGATACCTGTATCGTTGCAATTTATAGAACACCTTCTATCAGAAACATAAACAACTTCTTAAATTCTCACGATATCGTCTTGACCAACAACTCTTCCTATAAAAATATAATAATAATCGATGATATTAATATCGATATAATAGAAGGAAACATCAATAATAAAGCAACTGATTATTTAAAAAAAGCAACTCATAATTTACCAATCCACTGCAAAACTTCCATTGATCACATTATTCTTAAAACTAAATTAAAGGCTACTACTTTGGTAATTGAGTCAACAGTGACAGATAATAGTGCTGTTATGCTGGCACTGAGTAATATCTCAACTTTCAGGGCACTTAATTCGTCAACAAAAATTGATTTCATTGAATTAGATAAGTAAATAAACAACTTTAACTTCCGTTATATCTATAAATGCTCAGATGCAAATGCTGCATTCGAGTTCTTCTCAAATTCATTATCCAGAGCCATTCGAATGTGTTCTAAGACGTGTGTCATACCACACCGCGTGAGAATTATTAAACCTTGGATAACGCCGGGAGTCCTAAGGTGTATGAGAAATAGAGATAGGATGTATAAGAAAATCAAAACCTCTCCTAATAATGAAGTGCTAAAAATTACATATAAAAGATACTGTAATTTTTGCAACAAGTTATTAAAAAACCTTAAAAAACAGTATGAAAAGGTACTTACAAATGCTAAATCGAATCCTAAGAAATTATGGGGTGCTATTAAAGAAGTCACCCATATAGGCATAACCTATTCTAGTGCCCTAGATTTGCTAAAAGTGGGAAACTCACCTGTCACATCGGTAAATGAAGTTAATACTTTTTTCATTAATATGGGTAAAAATTTAGCACATAGCGTAGCCAGTGCATCTAATGTCGATAAACCAATAAATATAGAAAACATTTGGAACTCTATAGTTTTGTTTTGTAGAACAAATAATTAATTCCTTGTGTGCTAATTGCGCCTCTGGCATAGACGGAATTTTCTTCCATGGTTATAAAAAAACATAAAAATGTCCTAATTCAACTGATTACATTCCTAATAAATTTGAGTTTATCTACCAGTGTGTTTCCCAATATACTTAAAAAAGCTGTAGTCCATCCAATATATAAGTCAGATTTTTTTTTATAATATTAAGTGATGGGACGAACAAGTAGTGTGCCTGATAGTAAGCTACACGCCTGTCCATAACAGTTGCAGTGCCATTCAGAGCTTTAAATTGCAAAGATCTGAGGGACACTATCACTGTGCCCGTCACCCTGAGACATAAGTTGACAAGTCCCATGTCTCCCAGCAGTACTGCCCTGGATGACCTCTTTCACAAGGAGCTCTACTGCTACTAAAAAATGTGCTATGTAAATTACCAATATTCTGATAACCAGCTTCATGAAGGTACTGCGGCACTTGTGTAGACTTTCCACATCCAGTATCTCCAGCTACAATGACAACTCTTTCATTTTGTACAGCAGCTACTATTTCTGACCTGAAAAAATAAATCTATTGTAATTGAAATGCTATAAAAAAACCATTTGTTATATTATTTGTATTATACAGCAAATTGCATCTGTCTAATGTACCAAGTTCATAGAGGAGCACATAGAGAAAGCTTAAAATTTCAATATTACAAAAAATGTAAAGATTTACAAGTATTTTTGTCTTTAGTGATTAATATGGTGAATTGTTCAGTTTTTGTAGGTACAATAGTCATGCAGTTGTTATACTTTTTAATTACACATATATATGTGTAATTAAAAATTATTGCTATAGATCATATTAATATACATCAAGTTTGACACTTTAATAATAATAACATGCACACACTCATGGCCCTGCAGTGGGAAATCCTGTATCGTGGGTGCTATGGACACACACATAGACAACCAAAAATTACACCCAAACTCACAAGAGAAATAAATGTAGGACACACAAACATTTTTTCCAGCCTGAGAATCGAACCCAGGACCTCTGCGTGGCAGTGCAGCATGGTAACTGTTTCACCAAAGAAGCAGTTATTGTACTTTGGAGTTAGACTGTTCTTACAGAATATAGCATAAAGTTAAATTTAAATCATAAGTGATTAGCTGGACAAGCTTCCGACTCTACATGTGACTGTGCATGTACAGTCAACAGCACATGAAGCTACTTTTGTTTGAATATTGTCAGTTCAACAGAACAAGATCTGTCAATATATAGCTTGATGTGCTGCCATCTGTAAATTAATAAAATTAGTAAATAATAAACCACCTGTACTTAGCAACGGGTAGTTCTTTTTGTGCTTGTCTTAATTTCTTGAGTTTCTCAAATTTTTCTTTATTTTTAAAATCCAAGTAAATTGACACAACATTCAGAAAGGCTTCAAACAAATTTTTATCTAATTTTTTCCTGTCTCTTTCGTCACTAAATATCTCTGTATACTTTAGTTTTGTGGAAATATTAATACAGTGGAACTTAGAAAATTTTTTTGGCGCTCCTATTGAGTTAAACTCAAGTTTTTCACCATTACTTAGATCGATTATTGGTTTCCCCGCCTTTTTTAAAGTAGCCTCGTATTTTTTTACAAACACCCAAAAATCATCGAGACTGTTAGCTACTGTATTGCTCTCACTGCTGTAAAGAATTATTTTATTCAAATCTCGTTTGTAATGTTCAAAACTAAAGTTTTCTTCAAGATGGAGAGAAGTGGAAGGCGTAGGGCTGATTTTTCTCAATTTATGTCGTTCGTAGTCATGTGAACGTGAGCGCCGCCTTTTGGAAGAACTGCTTCGTTGATGTTGTGAGTTTCGGCTCATGTTTGCTTGAAAAAATCACGAAAAAGTGATCTAATCAAAAATTCTACACTCACGTTTACAGGTTCGTGTTTACATCGTTTTGTTGACTGACGTTGACTTTCGTGAATGACATTGTCATTCAATGATTTTTTTTTCACCCCATTTATTCGGGTGGGCAAAGATTTCACCATGCAGCCTTTTCATAAAAATTCTATACTCCTTGTATTGAATGACATTTTATTAGTGAAAAATTCCTGAAAATTGAAAAAATTGGAAAAATATGATTTCAAAGACTCATGATATTATGTTCTACTTTTAGAAATATTTTTCTTAAGTTTTTTAGCATGAGTTTTAAAATAAACTTATGTAGTTATAAGCCAGAATATGGAAAAACGAGATTCAAAATGATTTCACAACAGCAAAAAAATTTTTCTGAAAAATATGATTTTTCATTATGAAATTTTTCTTTGATCAACACTATGTATGTGTGATCTTTATGAAAAGATGATGTTACGGACAGGAACGTTAAATGCATTCATTTGATTACATTCACTATTAAAACTGTTTGATATACCATAAAAATGTCTCATTCTGTAGATTTGAATAGCCTGCCTGTACCTATATACTAAATCTATGCCTGCCTGTAGAATGGTAAAAATAGTGAAGGCATAGTAAGTATCCTATATTAATTATTTAATCTAAGAAATGTATAAAAAATGATAAAGGTATAACTTTTGCTATTGCTGCCAACTCAGAATTTGGAATCACGAGAAAATTACAGTGTTCTGTAAAAAGTCGTTCCGTGTAAAAGCGATATGAAAGTCATTTAATTGAACGTACCTTAAATCTGCGTAGCGCCCTCTGTTGGTATAGCCTTGTAACGTCACAATTATTTCCGCCATTACATTCCGCCATTTTGCTTTGTCGCGGGGTGAACGTAAAAATTATTCCTATGTATTTTATTGTGGATTTTAGTTATTTAGTTCAGGATTAGTGTTTTTAGTACACTAATGGCTTGCTTAAATACACTTAAGTTGGAAATCAAGACGTTAGAACAAGTGTTTCCAAAAAACCATGAACGCTTTCAGATAATGTCAGCTAGTGTCGACGAACTGACCTGCAGATTCGTTGGCAAAAGTGGAAAGAAATATGAAATACACGCAAATATTACCGTGAGTAGACTATTTCTTTGTATGCATTTGATGGAAGTTATGTGCTCTAGCATAGGTGTGATGGGTGTATTGATTATCGCCGTGGAACAAAGGGACGGTGTTTATGAGGGCAGGGCTGTCAACAATGGGTTTACGGAAGTGATTAGCTCCTTGCCATTCCTAGCTGAACACTTGGCATATTTCTCGGTGGCCTATTTACTAAACATCGGGTTGTTTATGCGGAGCGCACTACAGCAAAGGCGATAAGCGCGCAAGCTGTATTGATAAATCATCTGTCTTGCACGTATGAGGCAATATGCTAGCCGTTATATCGATCTCGATGTGTTTTAGTGCATTGAGTCAGTGTTCGGAAGACATTACAGCTACGTTTTACTGAAAGTAGCATCTGTTTTGTTTGAATAACGGTACTGCCGCGTTTTTAGGACAAAGGCACTTAGTCATCCTCGCTACCTGCTTTTTGTCGTGTATTTGTTGGTCCCATAGTTTTTTTGTTAGTCCATTGACATAGACAGTCTTTCTTAGAGCTTGGGAATTAATGTCATATTGAATTCCTTTATTCGTTATTGTTGTTATTGTTCAATATTGGAGTGTTGTTTATAGATTTAGTTGGAGGTAAATAGTATTGTTTACTATAGGCACATTGTATTTGTAAACAATGTTTCGAAATTTTATGTTACCATGCAATTAATTTTATTTTAAGGATTATTGTAGAGTTATGAAGGCAATTTATACTTAAACTGACATTTTTACAAACCTAAATAATTGTAGAAATGAAATAATAATAATATTCCATTATGATTCTTATAATTATAGTAGGAAAACTTTAAACACTAGATGCTAGAACCTAGAAGCATGGGGGAGCACCCCTGAGTAACAACCTAGACTTATTTTAAAGAAAACTTCCATACTAACAACAGGCTATATTTTCATTATGCAAGTAATTTACATGCATTTCAGGTTGCATGCAACTTGATTATTGGAAACATCAGCTTGTGTTATAGAAGCAAGTAAGTTTCTACTAAGTTTGCATTTGTGTTTTTGAACTAAAACATGTTTTTATACTTAACTTGCTCTAAAAGCAACATCTTACTTATTATTGGATGAAACTTTGGAATTGACACAATCACCAATCCCATGGCATGCATATTATAAAAGAGAACAAATTTCTACTGTCTACCAATGTTACCTGCATGCAAACTCTTGCATAATGGAAATATGAAGCACAAATAACCTTATATCATACTAATAGATAGTATGATATAAGGTTATTTACGCTATGTATGAATCATCTCTACATCAATAAAGCAAAAATATTTTTGCATATAAGACATCTTTCATGACAATGCAATGTCTTGCACATATTTGCCTTTAAATGATGAAATTGAACTTTTGTTTTGTATGACATCACATCAAAATAAACTATTCAGCTATTATGAAATTCATGTTGTGTTTCAATTTCCTTATTTTTCATGTATGCATAAATAAGGTTATTATGTTGAATAGGTAGGTTATTTATTGATGTCTCAACAATTAGTATTTATAGTGTTTGTTTTGAGATAAACTTGAAATGTGTTTTGCTAATTTTTAAGATTTTGTCATTATCTGGTTAGTTTTAGTCAGTATCATAGTGGTCATAGTCTACATTGTATTTATACAACTAAGTATATAGCATGCAAATTTAAACAAATTATACATTTCATACACTTTGGATTTGAAATTATATAAATTTATTAACTAACTATATGTATTTAATTTCGTAAGTTAGTCATACAGTCACGCTTTTTCCAATTTGTTAATATTAAATAACTAGTGTATAGTTTAGTAAAGTGGCAGATTACATCCAGTGGATAAAGTAGAATATTCATTGTAGTATAACAAAAAGGTTGGATTATATTCTTTGTATCCTTCATCTCATGAGCCTTTTCATGATATCCAACAACTAAAGCAAAAAAGAAATAGAATTTTAAATTTACACTTGAAAAAATGCAGGAATTGTGCGAATACAAAATTTCTTTTTCAAATATAATTTTTGGCTATTTGCTATAGTTATTTGTTATTTTAAGCACTGTTACAAGCAACAGTTATCATTGATATGATTGTTATAATGATGATTAGGCAATCATCATTATAAATGCAAACTATGATTGTTAGTACAACAAACACCTGAAATAAAATTAACTTTTTTGTTAAAATTCATACGAGATGAGCACCAGCATCTCCATATTTCATTTATATCAACTCTCCTGGGAGAGGTCTATATCACTAATTGCCATTAAAAGGCAGAGGTACTGGTAATATAGATGGTTTTATGGATGTTTTTAATTATAGCAAATCTTAACTGTGGTTGAATATCATCACACCTCACAGACAAAAGCATTTGTTTATTTTATTTGTTAATTTACATTGTCATTAAGTTCATTTGAAATAAAGTGAGTAGGAAATCGGCTCAATTGTATTCTAAATAATAATACATAATGATCTATTTATTGATCTTTTGTTGGCAGTGATGTAAATTCGGTTTTGGTGAAGGTCAGATTGAACAATCACTACTACTTTTACTAGAATTGAGTTGTGACCACAATAATAAAGGTGTTTCAATAGAGCCAAACATTTTGAAATCCCAGTTACTCCCAGTCACTTGTTTGAATATCGCCTCCAGTGCAATGGAACAAGTTCCATCAATGTATATGTGCTGCTGTCTGTATACAACTAAGTTCTACAATGGATAAGATGTTAAAATAATATTTGTAGACTAATAGTGTTTTTATAACCATAGAATATGACAATAATATAAATTATGAGCCACCAAAAATATGTTTGTCTATGATACATGTTTTCTTTGTTTGTTTTTTGTATAAATCAATAATGTTATTTACAGGAGACATACCCAAACACACCTCCGGTGTGGTTCGCGGACAGCGAGGATCCCATCGTGACAAATGCGGTCCAGATTCTCACAAATACACAAGGAAGAGACAATCATGTTATAAATCAGGTATGTCTGTTTTACTAACAGTTCACTAGCTTGGTTGGACCTCAGTGAACTTCAGTTTGCCGAAGCTAGTGAACTTCGTAATAAACAATAATAACTGTTGTGCTTGGTCTTTTTGATAAAGTCTCAGTTCATCTGTTCCATAAAGTATTTATGCATTATAAGGCTGACAAAGGATTTTTCTTAAAATCTTGAAATGGTTATGTTCCTTGGAAATGGCAAGTGTGTGAATGGACTGATCCAAATCGAGGAAACAAAAGAATGAATCGTATTAACATATATATGTTACTCCAGCCTGCGTGACAGAACGGTTACCATGCTGGACTGCCAAGTGTCAGAGGTCCCGGATTCAAATCCCGGGGCGGGAGAAATATTTGTATTGCCCACATTTATTTATCTTGTGAGTTTGGGTGTAAAATGTGGTTGTCTATGTGTGTGTCTCTAGCATCCGCGATACAGGGTTTCCTAAGTGGACATTTATGAGTGTGTGCGTTTTAAAAAAAAATACGTTCCACTGCTGGGCGCGGGTCCACTCTAATGGATTAAACCTTGTAGGTTAATTCACCAAGGGCCGAATGTGGATTGAATACTTCACAAGTCGATTGTTGACGTCGTAGTTTTCTACGTTAAAGCAAAGATAATTGTTAAAAATTACTCCACAAAGAAAGACAAGTTCTGGGAATCGAACCTGGGCGTTCTACATTTGAGGCAGACGTTCTCCCAACTAGCATATGTATATAGGAAAAGTAATGTTTCTATGAAAGCCTTTCCCCGTGGTTTGAACCTACAATTTATTAGAGAATCAATTTGAAACCTTCGTGTTTGTAGTTGGTACCGCAGCCGCTATTAATATCAATAAGAGCACATGGAAATATTAAAAAAGACTAATGGTCGTATTCCAGAACTCTACTCAATGCTCAAGTCAGGACTTGAGTATTGCAGTGAGCACTGAAAATCATACACAAGTCCTTGCCATTAAGTCGTATTTCCAGTGCTTGTGTTTCCAGTGCAATCCTGACTTGAGCATTGAGTAGAGTTCTAGAATACGACCCTAAGTCTTTTGTACAATGTTGTGCCTTTTATAAATGTAACTGTTAATGCCATATTCATAGTGAACTATACATTTCTATGTAACCTGATAATTATAATAATGTCTCGGTTTATTCCTGTACTAAGAAAGTAACATTGTTGCAGTATACTTGGAATTATCACTGATACTAAATAACAAAATAATCTCAGTAGCTACGTCATAGAAATTCTCATTCAGATTATGTTGAAATTTCCATTAGGTAAATACAATATCGGATTTTGAAATAGAGATAGTACAGTGGAATTTACTACTATACTACTGCGTTGTTAGTTTTTGACGAAATAAAAACAGTGTTGTTTTAAAGGATCCACTTCACAGATTGACTCGTAGATTATCCAGATAAATCAGGTGAATCGTTTAAATTTATAGGTAAAATTTAAAAAAAAAAAACAACAACAATTTGATTAGGTACATAAAAATGATAGAAATATGTAGAGAACAATGCAAAAGAAAACAAAAAAGCAAAACAGTTTAAAAACCTTTTTTGTCAAAGGATACTAGAATTAATATTATTTGATTAATTAGTCAAAGTGTACGATCAAATTCAAAAATCTCATTCAAAGTATAAAAATTTAATTAGTATAATTTCTTTTTTATTGTTACATTTTTTGAAGCGCATAATACTGTGCAAGACCGCGGCTACTACGCATAGGCCTTTCCACACTCGCGCTCGATTCACCGCGCTAAATCACGGCGCGTATCGCGGTGCAGGTCGCGGCAAAAACTGCTATAGTTCCACACTCCTAGAGGTTAGCGCTTGGTTTGCGTGCTTGACGAAGATGGACGTCGCATCCGTTTTGAATTGATTTATAAAATCTTTCATTTTCATATTCCATAATTCGGTGATATTCCAAATATGTCAGTTCTAGTTCATTTGTCCAATCCACGGCCGTTAAGCACCGTTCAAATTGTCAACAATAAAAATACAACACAACCGTACGCAGCTCCTACTTATCGGTAACTGAGCAGCACGCGAATGTGGAGCCTTGTCGCGTTCACGCCAAGATCGCGCTTCGCGAACCCTTTGTTGCGGGACAAAATACCGATAACAATCGGGAACGAGACGCGAACGCGGCGCGAAGAACATGCGAATCTGATCTACACTCATGCTTTACGGGTAAAATATCAATGTGTATCACGAGAATACTGTGATTAATACTTAAATTTTTCAAGGTATGTTTTGCAACCTGTAAGTACCACTAAAATATTTTGACAAACCTACGTCCCGAGGGACGACAGGTGAGACTTGCACTACTTGTCTTTTTTGGCAATTGTTCAAAAATACTTTTATCATTACTGACTAGTCAGCTCACGAGTATGGTTCTATGGAACTTAAGAACTCGGGTAGAGATATCCAATTCGCGGAAATGATTTTATATTAGGACCTTAATTATAGTTTACTTCACACTCGAAAAGCCAAACAGAGTTGTCGGAGTATTGCAAATCTACTTAACAATTTTTTTTATAACATCAAGTCACAAGACGAGCAAGTCGTGCGCCTGATGGTAATGTGATGCCTGTCCATAACAGTTGCAGTGCCACTCAGAGCTTTAAATTGCGAAGATCTGAGGGGCACTGCCACTGCGCCCGTGACACCGAGACATAAGTTGATAAGTCCCATGTGCCTGTACTTTCACCAGCACCCTTAACCCTTCAAAACCGGAACGCAGTAATGCTGACATTACTGCTTGGCGGCAGAAATTATCACATAATAGGTGCGGATAAGCTAATACAATTTATAATAATAAAACTAAGGAAGCCATCGGCTCACAGCAATTTCAATCAGCTGATTGTTTTATGATTGTACCTTACCATACACAATGGAACACTCCTTTAGGGAACAATTTTAGATCAGACAGATAACAGTTTCTGTATCATTCGTAGAGTAGTCCCATAAAATTTAGAAATGTTTTTTTTAACACCGCGCACAAAATAAAAAATCCTTTTTTAGTCAGTTCCATGTCCAATATTATGATGGTGTTAGTAGATGTGGTGCACAACAAAGAGTTGAAATGATTAGCAAAAGAGTTACTATGTAAAGAAATCTTGATTTGAGCTAATTACGTTTCTTATAAGTTCACTAATGTTGACTTCTGAAAAGGTATTTGTTCTGCAAAAATGCATTGTGAAGTTATTGTGATAAAGTCGAAATTCAAAATATCAACTTTTTTATTATTTTGACTTTGTGTTAATATCAACGCATAAGAAAATGAACCTTAAGTAAAATACGTCATAGTCCACAGTTATGTTAATTCTCAATGAAATCGGCGGATCTTACACGGTGCTTTGCGATTTTATTGTGTATGAGTTTGTATTAATCTGCACGTTGTATGAGTTTGTTTGAAAATAATCGCGTGAGGCGACGCGGCAACTCCGCAAGGTACAACACACAGCATACAGTAATAGCTGTTTTTACTGCAGGACCTATATTACACTCTGCCTTAGGGCGCGTTCTCATTTTACAGATAATCGCTTCCAACGATTCTGTCGTGCAAACGACAAGGCGGCTGCCGTGAACCCATAAATTGTCGTCACGATCTAGTGGGAACAGTTAGACACGACAGTCGTTCAACGATAAAATAAACGTCCACGACACAGTCACGGCAGATAGTCGTGATATGGGAACAGGCTAGACGCGACAGTCATCCAACGATAAATAAAACGTTACGACATAATGAGAAGGCGCTCTTACGCTTGTGTGGCGCGTCACGCTGCCGCTAATGCGGCTTCATGTAGAATCTCACTTACGCATCTAATTAAAAACTCTGTTATTATTATTACTCAGCAATAAAATTAGCATGAAGAATAATGAATATATCGTACATGACACCAAATAATAACACAAAAATGGATGAGTTAGAAAAAACGCGATTTGAAAGTTTAAAAATGATATTATTGTGTCGCCATCGCTGAGGTCCCGGGTTCGATCCCCGGCCGGGTCAATATATTGACAATATATTGAAAATTAGTTTCTATAGAAACTAATTTTTCTATGTTGTCTCGGTGTTTGTGGTACCGATTTCCTTAAGTGCTTTAGGTACATACTTCGGTATCAGAGCTACGTATATGATGTTGTCTAATATTTATTTATTTATATTTAAAATATCACCCAATGGATCATATTGCGAATAATAACATTATTTTTATTCCTAACACTCATAAACGAGACTATAAATTTATTGATACCATTCAGTGGTTTTTGAACTTTCAAATCGTTTTTTCTCTAAACTCCACCATTTTTGAGTTATATCAGGATCTGGTGTCATGTGTGATGTATCAAATTTAATTGCAATACCTCAAGAATCGTAGATAATAACGCACACACTATAATAACGCACACACTTAACATAGCCCCGCACTAGGGAAACCCTGTGTCTCGGGTGCCATGGACACAAACATTGAAAACCACAAATTACACCCAAAACCACGAGAGAAATAAATGTAAGCCATGCAAATATTTCTCCTGGCCCGGGAATCCAACCTGGGACCTCTGTGTGGCAGTCCGGCATGGTAACCATTGGGCCACCGAAGCAGTTTTAGAGATATGCTTATTTTAGTCCTTTTAATACATTAAAACATTCCTATGTAGATTATTCTACGTATGATGTAACGAAACGTGTTCATATTACCTACAGAAAAAAGAAAAATTTACCCATAAAAGTTAAGACAAAATTTCTTACACTTATGATGTTACCGAACTCTTGCTGTGAGAAGTACGTCCTAGGCCTAGATAGAAATTATGCCCATTGAAAACTAAATTATTATCTACCAATAGACGGAATGTATAACGCTACGATTATGTTATGTGTGGATGTCGAACGTGTGTGTATATGGAATTTTGATGAAAATACCTTGGAGCCACATAAGCAGCTTATCTGAAATTAAATTATGTTGTTCTTAGGTGGGCATATTGCTCAGGGAGCTATGCAAGTTACACGGCGTGCCGGAGCCGCCTGACTTGGACTCGCTTTCTATACCGATGCATCCTGCTCCACAGTTTAGGTACGTACCTATAACGTTATGAAAGTTGATTTTTTATTGACTTCAACAACAAGGAGGAGTATTAATTAAATTTTTATTGAATTGATATTCATTTATTTTTTGTGAAATTACTCCACTAGTTTGTTATAATTATTAATACAAATCCAACCGGATCGAAGGAATTTTTTCTGAGTGTTTTTTCTGAGTGTTCGGTCTTTGTATTAATAATTATAACAAGGAGGAGGTTCTTAATTCGACAGTATTTTTTTTTAATAAACAAGTTACAATTATTACACAGTAAACTTACAGAGTGCAATTACAACTATCACAGTCTGGAGTGGACGATGTTAAAATAGTAATCTGTATATTATGTAATAATCTCAATGCAAAATACTAAGAAAACCGACCTCAAAAGTCATTCATCCCCTAGTTTGCCACTCTTACAGGTAGAATATTTTTTTCAAATAGAAATGGGACCATTTTTGAGGTACCCTCTTTCCAACAAAAAAAGAATCGTCAAAATTTGTTCACAAATTAGTTTATAGTTAGTGTATAGAGTTATCGCGTAACATCATACAAAAAAAGAACGTTCAGTTGAATTAAGAACCTCCTCCTTTTTTTAAAGTTAGAAAATAAAGGTTTTGTACAAATAGGACATGAAACTATTTTTCCGTATTTAAATCGCGTATATTTGTTTTTTTCAAACAAACCTCAAAAAAACAAATATATGCGATTTAAATCCGGAAAAATAGTTTCATTTCCTATGTGTAACAATTTTGTACAAATGTTACCGTTTCTTCTAGAAGGTAATTGGTATGGTTGTCTCGCATTTTATTATTCTTTTTCATACACAAAATTGTAAATTGAGCTCCATTGTCTTATATGTATGTATTTGCGTAAATGAAACCATTATGTCACTATAGTTGTAAAGGTCATTGCTCTCTGTACCGCCTTTTTAGTGGATCCATCTCAAGCCATACGTATATTGCAATATGTTCTTTGTGAAAAGAAAGGTCCTCTTTACAATCCCCACTTGCATTTACGATCAAAGTGCCTTTTGCACAATTATGGTTTATCGTGAAGTACCATTGATCTCGTCCTACCGCGTCTATACAATATGTTTGGAGATATTTTATCGATCTTTGTTATGCTACTCTCTTCTTTGTTTTTTACGCAAAAAAGTACGCGATAGACCTCCATTCCACCTAATGGATGACTCCTTTGATAGAAGTTCCAAAAGTTGTATTGTCTGATTATCGTACTTATAAGACATTTCCTTATACAAATCCTAATTAAAAAATGAACGTTTCATATGTAAATTAGTCGTCAAATTATCGTATTTTAATATCTAGAATTATGGGGAACAATCTAGTCACGTTTTTCTAAGTCGGTAGAGACACGAAGTCGGAACTTTCTTGAATAGACTGGAGTTAAAGTTTGAAACGTTATCAGTTCTTACAAGGTCGTTACCTGCTTTCAATTTATAAAAGATACCTCTGAAAGTACAACCTATTAAATAAAAAGAAAATTTTTAGAAGCTCTTAACAATGAGGAAACTAAATTACAGTCCAATGGAGAATTTCCGCCTATTGAAATCCTTTTAAAAAAACACTTGTAAATATAGTATGGAGTTGGACCATAAAAAGTCTAGCAAACATCAAATTATTCTTTTTATATCGTAAACCATTGGCGTTTTATACTTTATCAGCGTGTTATCTTTATGTACGTAACTATTTACGCAAACCATTGTGTATGGTTTCTTTGTTTACAAGCCACCCTTTATATTCTCTCAGAATAACTAATACGGCCATTATTCTATGATTTTTGACATTTTATGTTAATAATTACGTGCTACACAATTACGCCTATGACCTGGAACGTAGTCGTCTAACTCAAAAGCCAGTCCGACGTTCTGAGTGAAATTTAAAAATCGTGTACATTTCGAAACCTATTTGCTGTTTCTATGTTTGAATTTTATGGTTATCAAATTTGAAGTTCAGTTATGAATACAACACTGCACTAAAACTATAAGACTAACGAATTTTCGTATTAACGGATAAACTGAATTAGTTTATTATTTTAATAGGATCTGGGAATCTCACATGAAACCTTTTACAATATAAATACTGAGTTTTATGGGTATAACAAGCCAGAGTATATCTGCTTATCTGATGTGTGTATAACATTGTTTAATGACAATGGTACAATTTTAACTCTTGTTAATATTAGAACAATGACTAGTCATTACTACAGGTAATTAGTTAATGACACTTCATAATTTTGATGAGAGGTAGACAAGCTATTGACAATAGAATTTGTGTCGAGCAAAAAGTTGGATCATTAATTTTTATTTCAAATTTGCATCCGAGAAACAAATTATACAACCCTGCATGTTTCCATGGGTTAAAAAGAATGGCGAGTACGTACTACTCAAAACGGCGCGTCACTGCACGTGTACGTCAATACGTATTATACCTTGACGTAGAATGTTCCGACTAACAGTATGCCTCAAAGAATATCGCATAAAAAATGACTGCCGTGCAGTATGACACCGCGATGCTGGTGCTGTTCACGATAAGGGATAAATTGAAGTTATAGAGTTATAAGTTATAAAGCAACGTTTCTTTTAGTAAACTCAAGACGTATATTTGTATTTTATGATATCAAGTTACGGGATGAATCTTGCGCCTGGTGCCAGTTGCAGTGCTGCTCACAGCTTTAAATAGCGAATCTGAGTTATACAGTTGACAAGTCCCATGTGCATGTAGTTTTACCACCGCCCCAAAACCGGAACCCAGATCAGACTACTCCTTGGCGACGGAAATCGGTATGGTTGCAGTAATTCCTCGGACGAACTCCTTAACAAGGATCTTTACTTCTACTGAAATTTGTTCAAGTATACTTGGTAATAAAAAGGATTTAGCAAATGCGTGATCTCTTGACATGCAAAGAACATTGAAATCATTAGGCACATTATCTAGCATACCAGAATGAACCCATATTTCATTAACTAGTATTTTGTTATTTTGATTTCTCTACGCTGCACTGTGTTTTTTTACACCTGAAATCGGACATGTCCCTGTTAACAAAAGAATCAGAGAAAACGTTACATTCCGAATGCATGAGTAAAATTCCCGCGAGTTTCACTACAATAGTTTTGGAGAAACCCTCGACCAATGTTTATGTCCCGTATTTGGTATTTTTTGAAAATTCTAGTGACCGAATTAGTGACCAAAAAATTCTAGTGTGAAGGTAGTACTTGATTTTTTTTGTGGAATTAGTCTTTATGTGGGGCTACGTTTTAAAGCAAGTTGTAAATCCAACTAACCTATAAAAAAGCAAAATAAAAAGTTAGAAATGACTAAACGGCGATTTACTCGCAGCCCATATGTGCTAGCGCGGCCAAAAACCGTTTATAATATGCCTACAAGTAAGGTCTTTCAAAAAACAATCTAACGAATTACTTAGCTGCAACGATTTGGTAATTAGAATTTTATTTTCAAAAAATACCAAATGCGAGATATAAACTTTGTTCAAGGTTTTCTCCAAAAGTATTGTAGTGAGACTCACGGGAGTTTTACTATATATGTATTCGGGTTGTAACGTTTTCTCTGATTGTTTTGTAAACAGGGACTTGCCCGGTTTTAGGGGTAAAAAAACGGTGTGCGCTGCTTAGTCAAAATAACATTAGTTCACTGAAAACTAATGGGTGTTATCTTTCAGTTTAACGTTGCCATAGAAATACACTACAAACTTTTAGACCTTTTACTTATGTGGAGTTATATAACCTATACAAACAAAAGAATTGAAATCCTGTTCAAAAATGTTCTCACATATAATTAACTTATAAGTAAAAATTGGTATTAAACATCTAAAACTTTTGTTTTTGCATGTTAAACATTTTAATAAGAGCTTTTTTTCGAATTCGCAGACTTCCAAGTGTGACGTCAAACGGCGCCGAATCGGGCACCGAGGAGGACGAGGAGATGGCGGCTGAGGATGACGACTCAGAGGGGGAGGATGACTTGCCCATGGAGATGGTCGAAGATGCTGGGCGCAGCAACAAGGTATTTATCTTTTTTTATAAATTACGGTTTTGCTTACTATTCTGCGTTTACGTTGTTTAAAATCCGAATC